ATTAACGATGTTCAGCAGTCAGCGATGCCAATAAATATTAACCAAACAAATTGTTGACATTGCCTCTGCGGTTGTTATTACATAACGCCTTCTTGAAGATAGATCGAGATCGAGCAGAATCATCGGAATTTTGTTTAATAAATTTGTATACGGAGTAAATCCTTTAAAGATCTTGACGATGCAGATGCACTAGCAGAATAATGAACGGATACGTTTCATCATAATGATATGTTATGCATTATTACAGTCTCAGTCGTTGTAGAAAAATGAGCGAGCTTTCTCCACTTACGCTCGCCAAAGGGACGGAATTCTGAAAATTCCTTACGCGAAGGCGAATGACTACGGTACCTACGAATGTGTGGTCAGCAGTCCAGTAGCGACCATCACTGCATCAGTGTTGCTACGAGTTTTGGGTATGATGACATAACGTTCTGCCCAGTGTTTAATGACTGTCGGTCTCTTGCAGACACGGTGCCGCAGCCGGTCGAGGACATAATGATTCAGAGCAGTCCATTCGACGTGACCATCGAGTGGATTCCTGGCTTCGATGGCGGTCACGAGCAATTCTTTCTCGTGAGGTAGGTGAATGATAGAAAACGAGTTGAGTTCGATCATTGAAAATTTAGTTGTATATAGATTCTGGAGGAACAGTCTGTCCGAACTGTGGGAAACGCTCAACGTGTCCTCGACGACCACCCGCTACGTGGCAAGTCACATGCAGCCCAACGTCGCATTCACTTTCGAAATCACTCCTCGCAATAAGCTCGGCGCGGGAGGGACCCGAAGTGTCACTGGTAGGACAATGGGTAACGAACAGTGTATATAAACAAAGCGTGATGTCATACGGTTTCCAACAGAACTTCTCTTCTTTAGACGATGACCACATCGGAACGGCTTTGCCAACCGACTCGTCCGGATTCACCTACTTTCCGGACGTGGACGCACCGATCGGTATTGACGGTCGACTGCTTGACTATCGATGTTCGTACAACAGCTGTTTTAGGACCGATACCTGAAAGGCCAGAAAATTTCAGACTGCATTTCTCGGCTGGAAACGTGGTTTTCATGTGGGACCCCCCAAAAGATCTCGGCATTCCGGTGTTTTATTACCGGCTCGAGTTTCGGGAAAATGTTCGGTATTTGGAAGCATCTGTCCGTTGGCCATAAATTCAATGTATGTTGGAATTTTGCTTAGCAACAAAACGATCGTCGCCAAACATGACTCGGAGATGCCGCGATTCAGCGTGTTCAAGGACCGCATTCGGTCCACGCAGTTAGGCGTCAACTCTTCATACTTCCGACACGGTGTACCGTACGACTTCCACGTCAGGTCGCGTTCCGTTGCCGCCTTTTCAAACCCCAGCAACACGGCGAGGCTCGTAATTCCCGGTAAGCTGAGCATACGAAACCGTTATGTTTGGATGCTGATGAAAATTTGTTTCCTTCGAGAGGTTATTGTGCATAGCACATAGGAACTGAAATCTGAAAATTGGTCAGGTACTGCACAGGGAATCGGAAATTTTCCATCGACTCCTAAGTTTACAGTTTTCTCCTGCTGTGGTGAAGGCCTGAAATGCTGCAGTGGCCCATCCGGTAGACTGAGATGGTGTTGCCTGCTAATTGTAATTGATATCTGACCATGGCGGAAACCCCTCATATTGCTCCGCTTCTCTGACTCCGTTGGTACGAATGAATCTTGAGGGAGAATTTGTAATATAGGCTTCTATCGGTCTTGTACTACCGCAGTATCAGAGAAAAAATTAAGCAGAAGACATGTCAAGCGCTGAAGGCAGTGATAGCCATACTACCCCCAACTTCGTAGATTTCCGTCCCATACATATGGAGATTGATTTTGGTCTCTCTGAAACCAAATATGGAAAAGCGGCAGGACTTGACGAGATTTTCTCAGAGCTCCTGCTGAGACAGCCGTCGAGAGTGGTTCACCGCACCGGCTGACATATCAACAGTCTGGAAGATGGAAAAGTGGTTGACATCTTGAAGCCTGAGTAACCACTTAATGAAGCATCAAGCTGCAAGCTTAGCTTATTTCGCTCCTCAGCACGGCACAGAAGTCTCTGGAGCTGGTGCTGTTGGCACGTTTTTACCTGTCACAGAGCCAGCACTGTCACATGAGCAGACAGGCTTCCGGCCCTGAAGGAGCCGTTCCGACCAAGTAATTACATTGAGTTTGCTCATTGAATTCGGCTTCCAAAACAGGCAAAAGACTGGAATCGTACTCTGAGACATCAGCTGCGCCTTAGCACTATGTGGAAACATGGTCTGTTAGTGAAATTTGCAATGATACTACAATGTCGCGCACCGTACGCCTTTAACATCAGTGGTGAGCAACCGAATACTCTTTGTGTACTTAGATTACCAGAAAGGCTCCACCGGAGCAGTAAATGACGAATTGCGGCATCCCTACTCTTTATTATTAGCGACCTCGCCATCAGCCAGTAATCTTACTTACGTGGACAGCATGGCACTTGCGTTCGAAGACAGAAGCTTCGATCACGTCGTTCGAACCCTAACTGCCGACCTGAAGACAATGGAAAAATATTATCATCGCTGGCACCTCCTCCCCAACTTGTCAAAAACAACTGCTACCGCCTTTCTTCTCAACAACGGCATAGCAAAGGCTAGCCTCGAAATATCTTTCTGTGGCGATCGAGTAAAAAAGGAGACCAACCCGAAATATCTGGCAGTTACCTTGCAACGCATCCTCACGTTGCGAGAACAACTTCGAAATCATGAAAGACCTAGCCTCGGAACCACATCGTGCAGAGATTAGCGGAAGCATGCTGTAGATCTAATGCCCTCACCTGACAGCGTAATATTGTGCAGCGATATGGCTCAAATTTAGCCATTCATGCAACATCAACGCCATCATAAGAACACCGTAAGAGTCCTAACAGGAATCCGCCACAGCAGTCCGTTCTCTTATTACCGGAGCTCTCAGACATGCCTCTGTCCAACATGAGAAGGCGCCAGACCTGCCTAAGAGAGTAACGCCAAATCCAGGATGAACTAAATTTGCCTGTTTATCAGAACCACAAATACTACCCCACGGCTGGACTGTTATCGCGAAAACTATTCTGGCAAACTGATCACGAATAAATGACATTATCTTTCGACGCCAATGAGGACCGGAGGAAAATCTGGCAAAATTCCAATGTGCCAGACAAGCACCTAATCGACGATCCGAGAAGAATTTTGCCCGGGTTTTATTTGGCACAACAGATAACCTTGAATAAAATTCGGGATAAGCCTGGTTGCCACGCGTGCGACTGCACTTAGGCAGACAAAACAGTCGACCAATCGTCAACCAATGTGAATCAAGAAAATTCAACAAGCGAATCGGCACATTGGAAACCGACTCCATCGCCTGGCTGTCCAAATTAAATTTGATTTATAGCCGTTGCTGCCATATGCAAAAAAACCACAGTATTGGTGCAAAGTAAACGAAAATGTCTTTCTTTACACGGTAAGTTTTCGCCATTTAAATCCGTCTGTGTCAGCGTTCGAAATGTGATTTTTAAAGTTTTCACTCTTAAAAGCTACCCCAGAATATCTGGGTGTGAACTTCAGCTTTTAAAACTTTTCATAAACTGAACTCGTTAATTTTGTGGCAGAAATTTACCTCTAGCTTTCGCAGTTGCCATGTCGTCACTTACATAATATTTTAAATTAAATCACCTCTTTTACACTCTTTTCTTCGTATTCACAGACAAGATGTTCGACGTGGCACTGTTAGCGGGAATATTTGGTGGCTTGTTATTTCTGTTGCTTTTCCTCGTAATCGGCGTCACGTGTGTGAAGATAGCCCGCTTCCGGTCACGGCGACGAAGCCGTTCGAACAACAAGGATATGCATTGGGTTAACTCTGTCGACTGTGGCCAAAATCACCATCAAGGTACTGACTGCATAAAATCTTTATTCGTTCTGAAGACTTCTAATTGTCGTTAGTCATATCCTCAAACGGATCTCAAAGCAAACGGCCAAATCCAGACGAATCATGGGGCTTTGGAGAGATCAAACAAAGGTAACATATTTATTTCTGAAACCCATTGCCAGCTACAGTCTGTAAATGGATGGCAAGGTGGATTACTCAAAATGGGAATTTATGAATTTGAACACAGCATTTACGAACAGGAAGGCATTACGGTACACAAAATGCGTAATCTCTATGAAAATGTGCAGGTTGACAGTGGTACAACACTTGAAGGCAAACTTAAAAGGAAGCATGGGAAAATGGTGTTTGGGAGTTATGTAGGTAACTTATTTAATAATGCGATCCACTTAGGTGAGTTGCTCATTTCTTCTTAAAACTATTAGTACCGTAAACTTTGCTGAATGTTGGTTCCCCTATTTATTGACCGGTTCTGGTTGTGTCCCAGTATAAGATTGTGACCTGTCCGATGTCACTGTCATCGAATTTGTGACGGTGCCTTTAACCAATATACAGTATTCTTCTTATCCGCTCACAAACGCCACACTATACTGTTTCGTCTGTTACTTTTCATGTAATAATCTAAACAATATTTTTACCATCATGCGTGGGCGTAGGTGAGTTCCGACGTTCTGTCACGATATAAGTTTATGTAAGCAATATGCTTCAATCATAGCTAACGTTTTCCATACGAACGGTTACGATAACACCCTTCCAACCAGCCGCATAGTTCTACCTTACTCAACTCGTGTGTTTGTTGATCATTACCTTAAGCTATTTGCATAAGCAAAACATTTCTGTTTTGTGATGTCCGCTGCATTTGCCGCTTTACAACACTTTTACTATAAGGCACAGGTTACTGTATCATAGAAGGACATATTCTTATTCGAAAGCAGATTTGATGCCTAAGTGTGCCCTGTGTAGACCAAGAATTTTCTAAAAGTTCTCTTGAAGATGTAAAAAAGCGTCTTTCGTTTGTCCCACACCCATTTGGTCTTTTGGCAGTTTCTATGCATTTATTACCACCAATTACCCGTGTTGAAGTGTTTGACTTTCATGTTGCACTAGTTCACAAGCTCAGTTAGAGCACAAATGCGCCAGAAATCAAAGCTGAACCAATTCCTCCAGTCGTCTCTTTTGTACTATTCATTTACTTTGTTTTGTTGTTACGGTCTATCCGCCTCATATTTACGATTTCTCGTCGTCTCCATCACCCATGCTTTGCTTGTCGCCAGTATTCACAGAAGTTCGAGGGATGTTCAACCTTGCCACAGTTGTTTTGGTCAAATGTCTGTGAACTAAATGCCTCAAATGTCTTATAAATCTCACTCTATACATTACCTTTTGCGTGTCATCGACAGGTGTTTGTGAATTGTTAACATTCACGATGCTTAACGTATCCAGCAAGTTCATTTATTAACTCGTGTACAGCGTTGGTCTTAAATTTAGTGAAGATAAAAAACGTTAATGAAAATCATGATCAATCAGATCTAAATTAATTCCTTTGTTTTGACCATGTTAATTTTATTCTGTGACGACGTTCACTCGGAAGCGAATGTTTGTTATAGCTGTAAAATCCACACCGTAAATGCTGAGCCTCGAAACCTGCTCATCTCGAACCGCCTGAGTGACTCTACTGTACTGGAAAATGCCGGCTCGACGTTTGAGACCGAACCACTGAACAATTCAGGTGCAGCAGGCATCGATGTTTGTTGTTGCATTTGGTTGTGTTGTAGTCAAGTGGTTCGGTATCTGCGGTTTGTTTCACATATGCCTGTTGTTGCTGCTGCATTTACATATGTTCACACAGTGTATTGTTATAGAGCTAATTTCGTCCGACTACGCGATGCTTCCGATCAGTCAAGAGTCTCAGGTGTAAGCGTAAACCGAGCGAATGGCTACCGTCGACCGGCCACGTTAACCGGAAGTCGTCCATACCGTCATTCGTTGATGGAAGCGTTACAGTTTAACTCTGATTTATCGTTCTTAAGCAACAGTAGTCACGTGGACAACTCGGAAGCAAAGCTGATACGATCCGATCCGCAAGGCAGTGCCGCTTATCTGAACAGTACCATTAGCTACCGTCAAAACAGGAGGCCATACTCAGTAGACGATCGCACTTACGGCTGTTGCTACCATGACTCGGCCACGGTCAACCAATGGACAGACTAGGAAACGGTCAAGCATTCGCGTCGCATCAGTGGCTCGTGAACATTCGCTGTTTTGCATAAGTTTGACCGCCAAAGTGCCTTAAGAAAACCAGCGTGCTGTCTGACGTCGTAAGATAGCAGTTTTACGATTGACATTAGAATATCCTGTGAAGCGTCTGATTGGATTAGTTATGAAATTACGTGGTTTGTGACACATTTCAAAGAAAAGAGTGATACAGAAGGAACCTGCAGAGATCACGGGTGCCTCTTTTCTTATTCTAAGTCTGATTAAAAGCAACACCTTCAGCATTGCCGCCTTCCAGTTGTGCAATGAAAACCGTATTCGAATCCTTTTGTACCTTCCTTCTCAAATTAAAGGCATGTGGTTTAAATTTTCGTCTAGCATTAAATACCGTGCTTTCAATGTTAACGAAAGGATTTTTTTCGAATTAAAGGAATTTTAAATATTTATTCAAGTGGAAGTGTGCACTTTTATGAAAGGTATGGTGTTTGTTTAAAATTTGCTGGAAAAAAACTGTGTTAAACCGTTTCAAATGATCCTATCGATTGCACAAAAATCAACGCTGGACCATCCCTGGTCCCGAAACCTAAATTCAACCATGGCAGATTCGTTTAGTGCAGCCTTTGGCCTTCCATAAAAGCCTGTTTTGCGTTTCATTTTCTGACCTACGAACAATCTTGTAATGAAAGTACACAGCGTATCCGAAAACGGTTTGTAGCATGACAACAATCTGTGAAACTGAGTTTTCCCTGCCATCGTCCATATGGAAACTAAGCAATTCAGATCAACGCATTCAGTTATTCACACAACGAGGTCCGTGGTAGCATCAAGCAGGTGAACGGCCCGTCAGTATGAAGCAGGCAGAAACTGTAATTATGTATATTCCATATTGGTGATGGCTTAATGCCGCCCTCTACGTCTGCGGAGAGCTGTAGTGCTCTATGAGCTGGTGGGTCTTTTTCTAAATGTTGTTTAATGCGTATTCTTGCGCTTTGTAGCCACAAAAATTCTAATCTGTTCCTAGATACGACTGTACGGTTACGCCATCCTTTCAGAAAAATCAAATCAGTTTGAGCCATTTACTTTATGTAGCAAACCGTTTGCATAATTAGTTGTGTAAGAAGTGAAACGTTTATCAGCGTACAAATCACAAATACATTCGGCACATGTAATTCTTTGCCTAAGGAACAAACGCAAACGCGAAGGAAACAAACACTGTTCATGACAAATGCGCAAACATCAGCTGACTCGAAAAATAAATATAGTTTATCGGTTTAATAATTTTTTGACCGTATATAATTTCTGTTTACAACCTGCCTCTGACCTGCGACACAACCAATGGTCTTGCGGGTGGAGGCGGTGAGAATGGGAGCAGAAGCGGTGGCGGCGGCGGCGGCGACGTGACATGAACAAAAGGAATGGGAATGAAGACAGATGTCGCTTGTGGTAGTAGTAGGTTTCGCAAACGTGGAATAGTTAGTACGGGCGCCGTTTAAGCTTCCGCTTCGTGTGTCGGCCACCAAACGTCAGAACAATTCAGACGCGATCAAACAAACGTACGAAGCCACCGTACTTCTGCTACTACGAACTGTCAGTCGAAATGCGTTCAATTTCGGTTCAAGTCGCAGCAGACAACCGATCTGGACAGTTTTCGTATGTATTATGCCGGCGGCAACAAAGTTATCCGCGTTTGGGTCTACACCTTCCAGCACTTGCATGCCAAAACCGGTCAGCTGAAACAAAAAAAAACAACTTCAAGTTGTGAGGTTAAGGATTTCCCTCATGCATCTATTTTAGTGTCACAGTCATACCAAAAAACAGCATAAAACGGTCTATTGATACAAAACGGATGCAATCTAGTCACAAAATCTACCTCTGTACCTTGAAGAAGCGTTTGGAGGCACCAGCCGAAATTTCACTAATGGTTCATTTGCTTTATGCATAAGGAAATCGAGTTATACGCTATTTTCAACGTGTCAGGTGCTGATTCGCCAAACTAATATATCTTCAATAGTATGCGGCAGCCACAAATAGAGTATTTCACCGTTTCCATAACGTTTAGGGTTGGAAAACATTTTTCTGTTGTGCCACAAGCGCAAATCCAGCTTGTGTGATACCCTAGTCCTCCCCCCCCCCGTTTGTGCGATGAACATGTATGCAGTTCGATCCAACATGGCAGTGCACCGGTGCATCAACGTATCGCGGGTGCTCAAGTACAATGGGGCTTTGGTCAGTTCAGGTTTCTTTCTAAGCTTTTCCAACCAATGGAACGGCAGACAGATATGAATCATTTAATGCCCTATATGAATGATTACCTAAAGCAATATTGTCTATCAATAATACTAAAATTGCCTTCAAGCGAATCTGAAAATGACACCTCTGGTTTGCGACAAACGTCTTAGACGTTCTACCGCCAAGCCACGCAACGCAATGTGACGTACAATGCGAAATTAAATGAACGTACGAATCTGTCATGCAATTTTAAACGGAGAGGCGGTGGTGCAATGGATCAGTAGTGTGCTTTGTACAATACAATATCAATTTAGACACGCGCGTACATCATAACTGTTCTTTTACTAAGTACTCATTCCCTTAAGCAAAAAATTCAGTTCACGTGCTTCGACGATACCAACCGCAGACGGGCAGCAGCTCGCTTACCTGCAGACCACAGCGACAGCTATGGTTTCGCATGAACACGGAAAATCTTGCGACACATGGCCATGCTGTCCGATGCGTGCACTTATAACTGCAATTCGCCTTCGCCAACCTCATAACTCACCATAGGTCAGCATAAAGTGCAAACGTAAATTTAAAAAAAATTTTGCTTTGCAAAGCATCGCTGCTACTCGTTCGATGGTGGGTTTTCCAAACACAAGGAACCATTCAGAGACGAGTTACTTCACCTAATCCGTGTCAAAATTACCATACAATAGTTTGAGGAAATCTGACCCCGCAAATTTCATTTATCCAGTTTATCACAAACTTGCATTCATTTACGCAGAAAAACGAAAAATCTTACCATATGTCGAACGCGAGTCAACTCCTTCTCTTAAAGAATCCCTATTCACAGCTGAATAGTCAATCTGAAATCGTGTCATTAACGATGGAACTACCATGTTTTGGATGTTAAAGAAAAGAACTGTCGTAACGTTAGTCATCATCACGTACAACCGGCTATATTGCGTTAAAACTACACGCGTATAATTTCGTTACAATTAGCACAAAACTTACCTTAGTTTTTACCAGCTCTGGGTCCGTCGAATAACGAGCGTTAAACGTTTTTTGAGATTCCTGTTCAGGCCTGAAAACAAACTACAGTCCATACCACAGCAGAGGACACCAACAGCTTACATTAAAACGGTATACTAACAGTAGTTAAAAATATGCAACTGCGTCCAGAGGGAATCCTCATTCCACTAGGATAGGCGCCTTACTGAGAAAAGAATATTCAAGCCTTACTGTAATGGAAATTTGAAACTCTTATGGATCTATTGCCAATATCTAAGAAATAAGAACTTTTCCAGACAGTAAATGTGACAGATGTAAATAATCATAGTGACGTTATTTTGTTGCTGCAACCATTGTTTCAGAATACTTTCTAGCGACAAGATTTTTATTGATATTAATAAGGTTCACTGTGAAATCAGTATTAAAAAAATTTTACCCTACTTGAAGCCCATAAAAACCTTATGCGAATGGTGATTAACTCGAAAAAATGACCGTAGGCAATGTATCGGTGAACCTTCAAATGGACCGCAAGAACTCGCTACATGGAGAAATCGACATAACAAAAAAACAGCATGGGTCAGCTTTAGTTGTATATATCAAAACGTCATAATTGCTCGACGGTAAATTAGCGAGCTGATGCGAGTAAATAAAAACCTCTTCTATTCAACCGTCCTTCCTCTCCGCCACCATCTGAAGTACTGAATGCTGTTCTGTTAGTAACATTCAACCGAGGAAAAGAAAATGACGGTCACCAAAAGAGTGACTGAGCGAAAATAAGTGCAACGAGTCCTTCCGAGTCCACATTCCGAGCATACAATTCAGCTAATGGATTAATAGACGTGATGTGAACGTTCTACGGCTACAATGGAAGATTTAAAGGCCATTCACAAGCAACCTGAGAGGCAGCCGGTCGACATCAAGAATTACAAACTGGGTTACTGTAGACTGCAAACGACCATTCGATCACTGTCCAATAATACCGGAAAACGATGATCTGATGGTCAAATTATCTGTGCAAATTGGAAGACAAACAGCGGAAAATGACAATCCTGAAGGAACGCCTATTGCTGTTCACGACACACTCGTAACGACGACAACTCGAATAATGATAACAAATGAAGCATAAATAACATTTGCCATTTTGAAATTGCATTATGGAGCGCTTGATGTGTAAACAGCAGAAGAAAACGCAATCCATATGCGTGTATGGATGGGGTGTACAAATGAGGTGGTTCAGACTGTAAAATGTACATTCTAAGCCCACTGAGCAGCAACTATTTATAGCCAACCCACTTAAGCTAAACAAGCTTGTCCCAACACAAGAAGAAAAGGGAACACAATTACACAAGTATAAATGAGGTAAATACCACAATCATTGGCACAGATGGATCGTATTCTACGATGTTCTTGTGAATTCAAGAAACTTTTCTAACCATGTGATGTCATCTAAGTGTAAAGCATGAGCAAAAACTATTAGGCGACGACGATGGACGCCACCTGACCTCAGAGAGAGAGACGGACCAAGTACTCAATAAGCGACGACTGACCATTCGGTAATGTACTGCTGTATACTTACTGATTAAGCTGCTTCCACCGTTCGAAAAACAGCTGAGCTGGCATATCGACTGCTTCAAAAAACTTGAACAGAAACAACGGCAGTTGGAGGCAAATGTTCACCGCTTCGGCGTTGTGCACGAAGCGCACGTTGAGCACCGGGCACGCGTAGAACTCAGCCACGCATTCGACGTTGATAAGCTGCTGCACTTGGGCACCAGCGTCGACGAAAGGATCGACCTGCTTCGCTTGCAGCACGATCTGCGTACTGAGTACCCCGGGACACGACACTTGCGGCGTAAAACTGAGTAGCGGAGAGGTGCTCTTGTTGCCGAAGAAGATACCCATTCTGGCCAGATTCTGGCGATTTTCCATCTTCACGCCGATTTGCAATAAAGCGTCCTCGAACAGCACCCCGTTCTGTTTACACCAGAACCTAAAATCGTCAAGCGTCGCCGTTAACCGAGTATATCCATTAGGGTATACGGTGTAAAATAATCATTACCTAATAGCTGTAGTTAAACAAATAAACAAATACGAATAGGAAAGAGAGGTACAGAATAGCTGTTCTAGTTAAATAACAGTTAACTGTTTTCCAAGAAAAATCTATAGTTCAAAACAACTGTAACAGGTACGATGCTGACACGTTTCGACGTACATCAGAGTCATCATCAGAGAAATATACAAAAAATTGATTTGATAATCTAATGTACATAGAAACTAGCAAATTTCTAGCCTCTTATAACGCAGGTAGGATAGTGATATGGTATGAATAAGCTTATTTGACTATTATTGTTCACATTTCTTAAAATGTCATATTCTCTCGTAGAGAAGATGTTGCCAAAAACCAAGGGACTTAACACATATAACTAATAGTGACCTCAGACTGGCTGCATCATAAACACAAACTGTTAACACTAGTTCAGCAGCTTTCTGTGAGCCTCAGATGTTCCAAGTTCTTCCTCATTGCTTTCAGAGTGAGGCTGCTTGCAGCAACGACCTGTGGTACTGTTCGCACAGTTTTCAAGTGATATAACTGTTTCACATGGATAACCATGAATTCGTATTTTGTTATCGTCTGTAGATTTTCATCCTGTGACAAGCATCAATTTCAGCTGCCTTGTTCTGCTAATAATTCAAGACTAAAGGCACAATCGATTACTATAAAATGTTCGAAAGAAATGTTGCATATATACATGATATCACACTATCTTACAGCAAACTAGATATGTACATCACATAATAAGATGTCAACTCCGACGTTGTAATTTAAACTCTTCTTCCAAGGCAGATCCCTCCTGAGGGGAATGGGCAGATCAACCAAGGTCAGCGTTGCGTATTTTTTCGACCGTTTCGTAGGTCATAACAGGTTCGAACACTCTTCACCGTGACGCTTCGCTTTCGCAACTACTCGCCCACTCCACGCCGCAACATGAACGCCGGGAGTACAACGAGACAATAAGATAAAACCTTCAGTTAGTGGGGTGCGTGACATGCAAAAGATACGACTCTTAATGAGAAGTCTTTGTCACAATGCCTCTTCTAACATCGGTTTGAAACAAGAACGGGTTGAATGAACGTGTTCAACCCTATCCTTAGGATACCACAA